TTTACATAAAAATAAGTTCATTTGATGTTTTATATGATTTATAATACATTTTATTATTTATTTTTTTTAACTTTAATTATAATTTATTTAGTAAAATAGTTGTTGAATTCACTTGAAAAAAGGTTTATTCGAATAGCTTTGTTACCAAATATGAATAACATTCTAGCATTAAATAAATGGTCTAAGTGACTTATTATGAAATTCAGGCTTTCGGAAGGAGGTAACTACATTATTGATAGGTAAATGTGTATAATGGAATGTAGAAATTGATTCTAAATCCCTTAAGTGCAATGAAAATTTATTTAAAATAAGAGCCTTTATTTTTTTATTTTTTATAGAGCTACTTTTCTTCGAACAAAAAACGGTAATTACTCCATTCAGTCAATCTTCACAAGTAATACTTATTTAATGCCATTAAAATGTTTTCTCACGATTTTCATACTCAGTTGTAAATTGTTGAGTGTTTCAACGATTGTGTTAATCGGGTTGTAAAAAAAAGACTGGTAGTAAACATAAGCTGATTTTTTTTTTTTTTATATCAACAAATTAAAATGAAAATCTACGTCGACATTGCTATAAAAAAAAATATATTTTAATATAACGTTCAATATTTAGTATTATGAAAAAAATCAGATTAAAAACATACAAACGTTCAAAAGACCAATAGCGTGTCAACGATATTTTCATTAACTTTTTATCAAGAGTCACGAAACAAATTGGTCTTCGAACATGTTTGATTGTACAAACACACACAAAACCCAAAACTGCAGAAGTTACTACAGGGCAATGCACCAAAAAGTAGTTAAACAATGTAGAAGTTTACTTTTATTTTAATGAATCCAATTACCTTATATGTAATTAACCTTATAAAAGTATAACTTTCTTTAATTGTGTTTTATTACTTCTGTTTGAATTTGGTTTAGTTCCACTTAATAATAAAATGCAGCGGCGCCGATTCCCTAAGGTCTTTTAGAGCAACTGGCCTATCTTCTTAAGAGCTGAGCGTGTAGTTGGTCGATATTCATAATATCAACTAACCATTATAAGTAATTAAAATACTATTGATTATGTAATAATCTTTTTAAGTTTAAAGACCTCATAGTTTATTTAAGTAAAAAAAATTAAGTTTCTAAAACGTTATAACCTGAATAATAATATCTCTTAAATAGAATTTATTATAATAACTTTGAAACATTTAATAAAGACGATTAAGCGGGTTAGTATTACAATCTGAATCTGTACTCGTATGTATCGGTTTTTTGTACAATTTTAGATTGCCATGATGTATTATTAAAAATACATGAGCAAATAAAATCTTCAATAAAGGGAGATCATTGCTTATTTTTCATAATTTCAATTTTTACTAGCAATTTTTAGTTTTAAAACTATCATTGGCGTATTTGAACCAGTAACTATGCAGTTTAAGACACATGACTTATATGTACTATTGACTACAAACATTATAGAAAACACAATTTCAAAGTTTAAAAAATTTATAAATGAATTTCAAAAAAAAGTGAAATTTCTCTAAAGAAAGTACATATAAACTTCAATAACTAAATATTAAAAAAAGAAACTTGTTCAATAAATATAGGTTAATTATTATTTTTCAATTGAGTTTTTCCAAAATTAGTAGATATTAACAATTTTATCGTAATGTTTACAAATGAAACTGTAATTTACTGTAGTAAATACTTACAATTTAGTAATTGATATAATATTAAGTCAATTTTGAAATTAGATTTGAGTCAAAAAAATTTATCTCGATATACTAAGAGAAGAATGCTAAAGGTATCAAAAAATTCTAACACTATACCTCAAGATGCATTTAAAGAGTTATGAAACATAAATACCAATATTAATCGACAGAAATTAATCAAGAAGTGTAATTTTTTATTATTATTATTATAATAAAACAGAAAAGTTTTGTAACTCCCTAAAAATTTATATACTAATTATGAAGTTGATAATCTTTATGACAAAATGTATATAGAGAGTGATCGGTTTATAATAACCACTCGATTACCCGCAAAAATAAATAAATAAAATATTAGAAAAAAAATTTTAATTTTTTTAGTTACATATATTTCTTGATTTATGAGCTAAAAGAAACTTTTTAGAATCATTCCTTGTAGCTTAAAAGGGTGACAAATTAATTTTAAAATTAAATGTCAATATACATATTTTGTTCACTTATAAAATAGATAATTATCTAATTAAGAAAATGACTGGTAAATAACAACTTTTGAACCAGTGTTTTAGAAGTTAATAACAATGTTAAATTATAACTGGAGGTGAAAAATGAGTACTGCTATTTTTATTACTTATATAATTCCGGTCATATTCTTTTTCTTGACTAGATATAAAAATTAGAATAACTTCCGAAGTGTTGGTCCAAAAGTTGTTATCGACCTGTTGTTTTCTTAATTAGATTATTTTATATTTTAAATGCTAGTAATAATATGTGTGCTACCATTTAAAAAAATAAAGTTGACACCACTTTAAGTTATGAGGGATGATTCTAAAAAGTCATTATTAGCTGATTTATCAAGAAATATATATTTGTGACTAAAAGACATCAGGATTTATTTGTTCTAATATTATTTTATGAGTAATCGAGTGATTTATAATAAACCAATCACTCTATAGATAATGAAAATAGATAAATTTTAAAGAAAAAAATTCAGTCAGTACACTACAATTTTTTCAAATATTCTGTACGCAAATTTAAGCTATGTTTTTCTATAGTTGTCTTATTTTTAAATATTGTGGCAGGTAAAAATTCTGTAATTAAAAAAAATTAACTATTAAATTTTTCCTAATTTCATGATTATTATTATGTTACATAGAATTTAGTATAATTGAAGTAATNCTATTAAATTTTTCCTAATTTCATGATTATTATTATGTTACATAGAATTTAGTATAATTGAAGTAATATGGTTAAATAAGAAATTAACCATTAAAATTCCTGCACGAATTTTTTTAAGACTCAAATTTTTATGAGGAGAGACAAAAGAAAATCATGCAATTCTTGATGGATGAGAACTTCGTCGGCACTGATGAGTGTTATAAAATTAGATATTTAATGACAAACTTAGCTTGAACACATATTAATGATTTTTGTTTAATAATTTTTTAGGTGTCTTATAAAAACGACCAATAGTAAAATAAATTATAATTTAAAATAAATCTTTAGTAATTTTAATTCTTAATAATACTATATATCCATTAAATTAATTTCAAGAAGATTCGATTAAAACAAATTCATTGTTCAATATTTAATTAATATATGTAATTAATTTTTAACTAAGCTCAAGTAAAAAAAAAAAAATCGATATCATTGATTTACTATTATTTTTTTTGTTTGTGTATAAAAACATAGAAATACCATCATTTTTAAATTAAGTGTTCAACAAAATAATTTATTAAATGTTAATGTCTATTTCAAACAAAAATGTTTTTTTTTTTGCTAGCTAATGACACTTTATGAAACTGAATTTTACAAATCAACTTTTTACTTACTTGAACAATTTTTTTAAGTATTTATTAAGATCAACTTTTAAAATTTTTATAATATTTTAAACTATGCATCACTATCAGAATTTCATTAGCTATTATATAAAACTTTATGAATATTTTTCTTTTATGCTTAATAATTTTACAAGTACATTGTAAAATTCTACTGTTATATTCAATACATAAACAAAAACTATTTCACTATGTAGAAAATATTTATAAATAGTATTCATAAAAGATTGCAATAATAAAATTGGTCTTTATATTTTAACAAGTAGTTTAATGTAAGTAGTAAAGTAGTCATTACAATACCTTCACAACTAGAACCATATTATGGATAACATTACCTAATTTTTTTTTTTAATTTGTATTGTAACCATTATAAAACATTTTTTCATTCCTTTCATTAGATAAAATAAATATCATTTTTATTATTAATAAACAGTTTTATAGTCAATAAATATACACAACATTTTTAGTCGATAGTTTTTGTAATAAGATATTGTTATGGTTACCAAATTTATAGGAATTTTATAGAAAGTAAGCTTTTCATTATTTTGTAGGTATTTATAACATTTTTGGGTTTTTCTAATTCTTTATCAGGTCTGACATCTTTTTCTTTTTTTATTAGCCATCATTAAGACAATAGGCTCCATACGGTTGTTACCTCGGTGAATTCTTCATCGCCACGCTTTTATTAGTTACCCGTTAATTTACACCAGAAGTCTAACCCACCACTTTGTTTTTTTTTTTTAGTCTTTTGTATAAGTGTCCATTGTTCCAGTCCTATACATTTTTCAAGGAATTACTTTCCTCGTAGACCATTATTATTTAGCACTTCTTATTCTTAAGCAGTATCTGCTCAATTCATTTTGCAGAGACAACATAAAATGTATACATAATTTCGTCCGATTCAAAGGAACTTTTCTTACAGTAATTACTAAATGTAATTACATTTTATTCTTAAAGAACTTCTTGTCTAATTAATACAGTTTATTTCATATTTAATTGCTAATTATTCTTTGATTAACCATTATAAACAGGATTCTTTAAAAAATAAACTCTATAACTCTAGCCTTTTTAAAAATATTTTGGTTATTTTCAATATAAATAAAAATTTTACTTAAAAATCTACTTATACAATATTGAAAAAAATAATTAAGTTAAACCTAAATATAATCTACTTAAAAATACATCTAATTAATTATTTCTGGCTAATTAAATAAAAATTATTAAAAAACTATGTTATTTCTAAACCTAATTTTAAACATTTTATAAACTATTAATAATTATTATAATTAAAAAAAAATAAAATATAAGTTATATCAACTGTTACACTTATAAGTGTAGCGGAAAATTAGTATTTTTTGGTACTTATGATTAAAACATCACAAAAAATCACTTCATACGCAGTGTTTTTTGTGATGTTGGATTAATTTTATATAGATATGCTTACAATTTTCGTAAAAAATTATACTTACTATTAACTGAGTTTTAATCCAAAGATACAAAAAAATCTGAAATCAAATACAAAATAATTGAATTAGCTTACTTTGAGTAGTTTCATAACTAGTTATAATATTAATTAAAATCAATGATTTTATAAAAATGAAATGTTCTTCAGAATGACTTTTTTGCTTTTATCAAGCAAAAATGTAAAGAAAATTAATCTCCATATAATATAGACATTAATTTTATATATAATATAGACTATATTATAAATAGCAAGTTCTACAAAAAAAGGGTGTGCAATATTTTTTTATTCAATACTACTCATTAAGACATCAAAACTAAAATTATATAACAAAATCCTCTTTTATGACCTATTTTATTTTGCTTTACTTTTTTTCTTCCGTTTTTGTATCGTTAACAATATTTTTCAATTCATTATTTTTCTGTAATCCTAAACATGAGTAATAAAATTCAGGATATACAGAGTGGCCCATCACTCACTGACAACTTAAATAACATTTGATCCAGTTAATATTTTTTTTAAATAATAGTTATACGTTAGATCTATAGCTATATCTCAATAATTAATTTTTTTATATTTTATTAAAAATATTAATTATTTTTAAATTTTAAATAAAATGTAAAAAAAAAATCTAAGATAGCTATTTTGTAGAGTAGAATTTAAGAAAAATTTTAGTAAAAAAATATCTTATTAATATTCAGTAGTAAATATTCTGTAGCGTTTTGAAGTTTGTGAAAATTTGAATTTTCATGTATTATTTTACGGTATTAAACATTGAAATACGTATTGAGAAAAGGACAGAAGAAAACGCTATCTTTTCAATATACTTTTGAATGAGAGTGATAAGTAATAATTGCCTTATCTAATTTCTTATCATGGTATTAATGCCAAGTTTGTAATGTATACACATTATCATCATATGTATACACAGTAATAATGAAAAGATAGCGTTTTCTTCTGTCCTTTTCTCAATACGTATTTCAATGTTTAATACCGTAAAATAATACATGAAAATTCAAATTTTCACAAACTTCAAAACGCTACAGAATATTTACTACTGAATATTAATAAGATATTTTTTTACTAAAATTTTTCTTAAATTCTACTCTACAAAATAGCTATCTTAGATTTTTTTTTTACATTTTATTTAAAATTTAAAAATAATTAATATTTTTAATAAAATGTAAAAAAATTAATTATTGAGATATAGCTATAGACCTAACGTATAACTATTATTTAAAAAAAAAATCAGCTAAAAATATTAACTGGATCAAAAGTTATTTAAGTTGTCAGTGAGTGGTATATAATTTTAATTTGATATTATGTTCTCATATATGCTTGTATAAAATTATTAATCATCATTAATTATTTTAGTATTACATTGATACCTAAAAATAACTTTGATAACAAACTAAAAAAAACATATGTTGATATAACATGTTTTTTTTGTGTCTGACAAAGAAAATTCTTAGTTCTCAATGGATCGATTTTTTTGTTAATGTAATCGTCAAAAGAACTGGAATTTAATCTTAATGAACCAATCAGTGCTAGAAATCAAAAATAAAACCTTCAATTATAGAAATTTAAAAAATATCTCAAAATTATGCTACTATAAAAAATGGCATTACAACACTTTTTTTCTGTATTTTACACTACTATAACATTTTTTTTAAAACACTGATTCTAATCAAACTTTAATTAAATATACAAGATATGTTGGTCGCCGTGGGGGAGGGGAATACGGCAGGAACGGCCTATCCGCTTATGGCAATTAATACTGCCGGCGAACAAACCGTTTCAACGCTCCCCGTTCGAACCGCTAACCACCTGAGTATTGCCGCACAAACACGCCCGCGTAAAATTACTACTCCCGCTGTGGAGCTAGAATTTGACAACGACTTTGTGACGGCCTTACTTGACTCTCAAGCGCAAAAATCGTATACTACTCGAACTACAGCTCACAAATTTGGAATTGTGCACAACGGACAAACACCCCCAGTTAGATTAGCTGACGGCCACACAACAGACACGGCCGGCACAGCCACTTTTATAACAAAAATTGCAGATCTACAAGTAAAGTTTACGGCTGTTATCTTAGAGAATCTGTACTGTGACGTACTCCTGGGACACGGCTTTCTAACAGAACAGGAAGTCTCCTGGGACTACGCTGCATGTACAATTCACTTGGGCGCGACGCGACGCACTACAGCTTGTTGGAAAGCGAGTACTCAGCACACGCTACCCGACGTAGATCTCTCAACACTAGATATAGCAGGCGACCCACACACGCGCGAACTATCATTACAGATAGTGAAAAACTGCGCTACGTTTTTAATGACACGGTGGGACGCACAACGCTTATTGAACACACATCACTCACTTTACTAGTGCCAGCCCGAGAACAGAGGCTGACACCACCACCCTTAGCATCAAACATGGAGGAGACATCGTTTTTAACAACAAAGTAGCGGCAACAACAATAACAGCAGAAACAACACAGTAGCGGCAATAACAATAACGGCAGCAACAACACAGTAGCGGCAATAACAAAAACGGTAGCAACAGCACAGCAGCAGCAACAATACAGTACCGGTAGCAACATCTAAATTAGCAGCGGTGAAACAGCGACCAGCGGAGAAACCCATGGAAATGGAATACACGCACTCACCCCTTAGATCACCAACAGACAACGTGAGTTTGGCGGCATTCACTGCTATACGCGATTGCCTTCCCGGCCGTCATTAAGTAGACCGGCGGCTTGGCGGGGGGGTATTTGACACGGCCCGCGTCGCTTCGTTATACACGATGCCCCGCGACTCGTGCCACCTTTATCAGCCGTCGCCCTACTATGAGTATTTGACTGACCAACACCGCGTGTTATACGCTACGGTGCAAAGTCCAGCAAATGCCGCACGGCCGACGACGACCCGCCGCAAATGGTGCGAGAGTCTTCCTCCCGCTGTGAAAGCGACAACGTCGACAGCCGAACCGCACCCGCGCACCGTCGCCTACAACGCTGCTAACCATTTTGCCGTCCAAGGATTACGCCGAACATCGCGTCGTCGACGCCAGCGAAAGTGCCGCGATATTATGCGAAGATTATTATTACTGTGTTTATCTTTTCGGTTTGTTTTATTTTTGTTAACATAATCTGTTGTCGCTCATTTAATAAACGGCCCACGGGTCTCTACCCTCAAAACCAGTGTCGACCACATTTTTGCGACGTAAGTCGTGTCAAAGAGTATAAAAATATAAAAATACATAATAAGCTATGAATAATTATTACAATTACATATGAATTTAATAATAAATAATAATATATATTATATAATAATAAAATTAATTTAATTAAAACTATTTTAAAAATATTATTAATTTTATTAATTAATTAGACACAATTGATCAATTTTTATTATATATAATATATAATTTAATAATAAGAAGCTCTCTTTTTGTAAGCTTTTTATAAAAATCTATTTGAATACCTAAATATATGAAGAGTTTAAAAGAGACCATCCACGCCTATTATACATTTTTTTCTAACTCAAATTTTGAAAAAGTATAGATCCTTTCCGTAATCTAATACCTACTTGGTAACCGGCCTTTGCCGTTCCTTCTCTAGATCGCGTAGCAAACCCTTGGTTTCCGTAGCGAGACGTACGTTCGAAACGTTTGGACTTTTTTTCCGAAACCATCTAACTTCGCTTTTGCAACCTCTGCTAGAATAGTGGACGGGTTTGGAATTGTTGTGGGGTGGGGTTGCACTTTTTTCCGATCCCACTTTGCTGGGTTTCACGTGGGTTTGAATTTGTTAGATTTATTTTGCTCGATGGGGTTGCACTTGCTCCCGATCCCTCTTTGTTGGGTTTCACGTGGGTTTGAATTTGTTGGGTTTACTGTGTACGATGGGGTTGCACTTTTTTCCGTTATCATTTGCTTCCGTCCCCACTATCCTTTGCTAGAAATGCGGAGCATTTCTAGTCAATTATTCTATTTTAACCATAACAATAATTTGGAGGTGTGTAACTTCTTCCATGAAAATTACTTATACTTTTGAATGAGAGTGATAAGTAATAATTGCCTTATCTAATTTCTTATCATAGTATTAATGCCAAGCTTGTAATGTATGCACATTATCATCATATGTATACACAGTAATCATGAAAAGATAGCGTTTTCTTCTGTCCTTTTCTCAATACGTATTTCAATGTTTAATACCGTAAAATAATACATGAAAATTCAAATTTTCACAAACTTTAAAACGCTACAGAATATTTACTATTGAATATTAATAAGAAATTTTTTTACTAAAATTTTTCTTAAATTCTACTCTACAAGATAGCTATCTTAGATTTTTTTTTACATTTTATTTAAAATATAAAAATAATTAATATTTTTAATAAAATGTAAAAAAATTAATTATTGAGATATAGATATAGACCTAACGTATAACTATTATTTAAAAAAAAATCNACCGCGTGTTATACGCTACGGTGCAAAGTCCAGCAAATGCCGCACGGCCGACGACGACCCGCCGCAAATGGTGCGAGAGTCTTCCTCCCGTTGTGAAAGCGACAACGTCGACAGCCGAACCGCACCCGCGCACCGTCGCCTACAACGCTGCTAACCATTTTGCCGTCCAAGGATTACGCCGAACATCGCGTCGTCGACGCCAGCGAAAGTGCCGCGATATTATGCGAAGATTATTATTACTGTGTTTATCTTTTCGGTTTGTTTTATTTTTGTTAACATAATCTGTTGTCGCTCATTTAATAAACGGCCCACGGGTCTCTACTCTCAAAACCAGTGTCGACCACATTTTTGCGACGTAAGTCGTGTCAAAGAGTATAAAAATATAAAAATACATAATAAGCTATGAATAATTATTACAATTACATATGAATTTAATAATAAATAATAATATATATTATATAATAATAAAATTAATTTAATTAAAACTATTTTAAAAATATTATTAATTTTATTAATTAATTAGACACAATTGATCAATTTTTATTATATATAATATATAATTTAATAATA